GTGTCAAAAAACCGGTGACTTTTTGACCACTTTGGTGGTTATCATATCATTATTAGTAATATTTGATATTTTGGGCCATATCAGGGAGGATTTGTTCTATTTTAATTGATTTTAGATGTCTTTGTTACTGGGTGTTTCTATGTTTGTAATTATTATGTATACTTTTTTCTTTTCTCATTAAATTTTGATACTAATATATAGCCTGGTTCATATTTACAGATAGCTCCGATTATGGGATTTCTTCAATTAAGGGGAACTCTGCTTGTTTTATATGATCTTTGAAACCCGGGAGATCTGTCTTTATTTTTGTTACCTCAAGCGTGACTCCTCCTTTCCCCTTTTGTGTTGAAGTTCTGCATTCACTTTGACTTCTCCTGCTGCATGCTTGTTCCAGGCTGGGGATTCAAGTGCTTAAGCCAGTGCATCAGAATGGCAGCCAGACCACCCATTTGCAAATGGGGGTTAGCAGTGGTAGCCTACATATTTTCCCATACCTAGATTTCTATTTATTTTCCTCTTTAAGCCCAGAGTAATGTTACACCTGCGATCCTGTCAGCTGGATGTAAATGGACGCCCGTGCGTTTAGATTCGGCTGTTCATAGACTTACTTTGGACATCCGAACATCCATAGACAGTCGATACTTGGAACAGGATCAGTCCAGTAATATTGATTTATTCCCCATGAAAACAGTCAATAACTCCAGTCAAAGACTCCATTGTGAGGCAAAATCGCGTCAGAAGTTTGTTATTGACTGTATGCCTTTTTGGGAATACTGTGTGCACAATTATTAGGCAAGTGAGTATTTTGAGCAAATCACCATTTTTATGCATATTGTCCAACTGCAAGCTGTATAAACTTGAGGACTTTTTGGATTTAAGCATATCAGGTGTTGTGTATTTGTGTAATGAGGGAGGGTGTGGCCTTAGGAGATCAACACCCTATATTAGGGTGTGCATAATGGCTAGACAGCTTCTTTTCCTCAGGCAAAATGGGCCAAAAAAGAGATTTAACTGACTCTGAAAAGTCAACAACTGTAAAAAGTCTTTCAGAAGGATGCAACACTCTTGAAATTGCTAAAATATTGGGACGTGATCACAGAACCATCAAACATTTGTTTCAAATAGTCAACAGGGTCGCAATGTCTCTGGGCACTGACCACCTTGTACTTCTGTTGAGAAAGGAAAGTTAACTGCCAAAGATTTTTGAATAATAAAACGTGAATCTACCAGGAACCCATTAACCTCCAGTGCTATCATGTTCCAGAACTGCAACCTACCTGGAGGACCCAGAAGTACAAGGTGTTCAGTGCTCAGAGACATGGCCAAGGTAAGGGAGGCTGAAACCCGACCAACACTGAACAAAACACATAAGTTGAAATGTCAAGACTGGGCTAAGAAATGCCTGAAGACAGATGTTCCAAAGGTTTTATGGACAGATGAGATGAGAGTAACTCTTGATGGACCAGATGGATTGGCCCGTGGCTGGATCAGTAACAGGCACAGAGCTCCACTTCGACTCAGACGCCAGCAAGGTGGAGGTGGGGTACTGATGGGCTGGTATTAATAAAGATGAGCTAGTTGGACCTTTTCTGGTTGAAGGTGGACTCAAAATCCACTACCAAACCTACTGCCAGTTTTTAGACACTTTCTTCAAGCAGGAAAAAGTCTGCATCTTTCAAGAAGAACATGATATTTATGCAGGACAATGCTCCATCGCATGCATAGAAGTACTCCACTGCGTGGCTAGCCAGTAAAGGCCTTAACCCTTTCACTGCCAAGCCCTCCGGAACATTTTTCAAATCAGCTGGCCAAGCCATTTTTGATTTTTTTGCAATTTTTTACCTTTTGATTTTCAACTGCTGCGTTGCTAGCGTTTGTAAAAGACCCCCCAAACCATATATTTTCTGAAAGCGCAGGCCCGGTAGAATATAAAGATAGTGATACTAAATTTGTAGGCCC